TCTAATCTCTCAAAAGTAATTTTCTCCTGTTTAGTAATTTTACATTAGAGTTTTCCTCGCCATTTTGTCGTATGAATGCCCAGCCAACTAAACTGCTAAGGTCTTTAAGATGTAAATATTAGCTCAAAAACAAAAATATCAGGGGTAGCCGAACTTGCCCCGGTCTCCCGTATGTAGTTTTTTTGTATCGTTGATGATTGGTAAAAATCTATTCACAATATATTTTTTGCATCAATAACGCCATTTTCAAAGCTAAAGTAGATATTTGTTCTTGTGCGTAATGTATATGATGGGTTGGGTGGCGCAGTGGATAGCGCGCTCGTCTTCACCAAGATGACGATAAAAGTTTATAAAAGTAAATGTATAGAGATGTTAGTTAAAAAAAGGAAATTAAAAAGGAAATTAAAAAAACAAAAAACATTGTAATACTTTGATGTAACTGAGATTGTCGTTATATCGATATTTAGAATTCCTGTTCCATCCTAAAACACCGGATTGAATTTAAAATGTTGTAACTGTCACTGAGGTTTGACAGGTAATAATGCCAAATACAATTAAACAGTTTCTGTCTCTAACTAGTTATAAATCGACATGCGTTGTGAAAAAGTAACACGTTGCGTTGAACGCTACCAGACTTTCAAAAATGTTTATTATTTCGTTCATATTCTCAACAAATGGAAATCAAAAGCAGATGAAATTTTAGACAATGAAAAAATAAATGTACACGTTGACCTATTGGTTTAATGCGGCTCTTTTTGAAAATATCTCCCGGTAGAAATATTAACAGAACCTGGTTGATGACAAAATAGGATCTTCAGAAAACATCAGCGTTTTTACTTTTTGTGCCTGTGGCAAAAACTGAAATTAAAAAGTCATGAAGCACCGACAAAGAGATGAATGCAACGGCTATCAGTTCCAAGATTTTCCGTTGTTTTTCATCCTTCCGGAAATAACCGATGAAGGCCGATGGAGTGTGAAGCGATTGTGACGTCACAGTATGATACTCTTTGAACGACGTTTCATGTCTGCTAGTATTAAAATTTATGTGAAAGATTTTTCTTGCACATGTGCAATACAGAACGTTGTATTTCATGGTCTGAAAATTGCTTGTATTACTATAACAAGATTCAACAGGTATGTGATAAATATGCAAGACCACACACTTGTGTTTTTCTAACGAATCAGAAAGCACGAGTTTATTGAGCTGACGAATATATTCACGAGTGCTTTCTGATTCGTTAGAAAACCACAAGTGTGTGGTCTTGCTTTTATCACATGCCTTCCGTATTTGGCAGAGATCGATATAAAGATTTTATATACTTTGATATTTTTTGCAAATACCGGGAACTTTTCAGTTCGTCATGACAAAGGGATTCCCATAAAATGAGTTCCGGCTCAACATTCCGTAATGCACATGTGCAATACAGAACGTTGTATTTCATGGTCTGAAAATTGGTTGTATTATTTTAACAAGATTCAACAGGTATGTGAAAAAAGTGAGCATCGCTGTCTTCGGCACTCTGCATCTAACAGCTAACTAGCTAGCCACCCACTACTCCACAAGAAGAACAATAGGAATACTATATATCCAAACGCTGTTAAATGGTCGATTTGACTGTAAGTGTAATCAACACAAGAGAGGAGGGGTAACCAGTAGGACAAAGTAAGAAATAGTTATTCGCTACAAATATTTATTGAATAAAGTATTAGCTATAAGGATACATTTGGTGAAGACAGAGGGTGTGGTCTCCCTGCTAGCATACAAATGGTAGGAATGCTGTCAGTATCATGTGTCATTATTGTTTAAGACACCGACATGAATCTCACATATACCTTATATAAACACTATAGTTATATCTACGTCAGACAGACGAATGACTCCCTAATATGTTATACATGTACCACACAGAACCTCAGAATGTCCGACATCCGTACAGGTATGAGAAAATGTAAAATAAAGCATTATATCAGCATAATGGTTGTTTTACATAGGTATTCAAACATTTAATTTGAGCTTTTATACCACGTTACATTTGTGTGTATGCGAGTGAATACGTGAACGTATTACGTGACAGGTTTGATGATGAATGACCTTGTAAATCTGTTTATTGTCGTAAGTGTTACCCCGACATACGTTATCTTTAACCTTTGGTTAGCAATATCTAGTTCACCTGTTTGTAATAAAACATGTAACTTTTTAAAAATAATTTACTCATTTAATTAATGTTTTGCTAAGTAACATATGAATATATGAACAGTCGTCCATGTTTTCAAATATTGCTATAGATAAGTATGTCGATAATAAAGGACCTGTATTTTTTAAGTGTTGTTATCCGACATTTTCTACGTGATAAAGCTATGCCTACGTCGATACAGATGTCGTGACAAGTAGACAGCCTTAATACCACGTATAAGGGGCTATATATCACAGGATATCTCAGCTAGGTAAATACTGTCTGATGGGTACAGGTAGGGCGGGGTTTAGCTACGTATACTTTACTATTGTAATACTGTCTGATGGGTACAGGTAGGGCGGTGTTTAGTTACGTATACTTTACTATTGTAATACTGTCTGACAGGTACAGGTAGGGCGGTGTTTAGCTACGTATACTTTACTATTGTAATACTGTCTGATGGGTACAGGTAGGGCGGTGTTTAGCTACGTATACTTTACTATTGTAATACTGTCTGATGGGTACAGGTAGGGCGGTGTTTAGCTACGTATACTTTACTATTGTAATACTGTCTGATGGGTACAGGTAGGGCGGTGTTTAGCTACGTATACTTTACTATTGTAATACTGTCTGATGGGTACAGGTAGGGCGGTGTTTAGCTACGTATACTTTACTATTGTAATACTGTCTGATGGGTACAGGTAGGGCGGTGTTTAGCTACGTATACTTTACTATTGTAATACTGTCTGATGGGTACAGGTAGGGCGGTGTTTAGCTACGTATACTTTACTATTGTAATACTGTCTGATGGGTACAGGTAGGGCGGTGTTTAGCTACGTATACTTTACTATTGTAATACTGTCTGATGGGTACAGGTAGGGCGGTGTTTAGCTACGTATACTTTACTATTGTAATACTGTCTGATGGGTACAGGTAGGGCGGTGTTTAGCTACGTATACTTTACTATTGTAATACTGTCTGATGGGTACAGGTAGGGCGGTGTTTAGCTACGTATACTTTACTATTGTAATACTGTCTGATGGGTACAGGTAGGGCGGTGTTTAGCTACGTATACTTTACTATTGTAATACTGTCTGATGGGTACAGGTAGGGCGGTGTTTAGCTACGTATACTTTACTATTGTAATACTGTCTGATGGGTACAGGTAGGGCGGTGTTTAGCTACGTATACTTTACTATTGTAATACTGTCTGATGGGTACAGGTAGGGCGGTGTTTAGCTACGTATACTTTACTATTGTAATACTGTCTGATGGGTACAGGTAGGGCGGTGTTTAGCTACGTATACTTTACTATTGTAATACTGTCTGATGGGTACAGGTAGGGCGGTGTTTAGCTACGTATACTTTACTATTGTAATACTGTCTGATGGGTACAGGTAGGGCGGTGTTTAGCTACGTATACTTTACTATTGTAATACTGTCTGATGGGTACAGGTAGGGCGGTGTTTAGCTACGTATACTTTACTATTGTAATACTGTCTGATGGGTACAGGTAGGGCGGTGTTTAGCTACGTATACTTTACTATTGTAATACTGTCTGATGGGTACAGGTAGGGCGGTGTTTAGCTACGTATACTTTACTATTGTAATACTGTCTGATGGGTACAGGTAGGGCGGTGTTTAGCTACGTATACTTTACTATTGTAATACTGTCTGATGGGTACAGGTAGGGCGGTGTTTAGCTACGTATACTTTACTATTGTAATACTGTCTGATGGGTACAGGTAGGGCGGTGTTTAGCTACGTATACTTTACTATTGTAATACTGTCTGATGGGTACAGGTAGGGCGGTGTTTAGCTACGTATACTTTACTATTGTAATACTGTCTGATGGGTACAGGTAGGGCGGTGTTTAGCTACGTATACTTTACTATTGTAATACTGTCTGATGGGTACAGGTAGGGCGGTGTTTAGCTACGTATACTTTACTATTGTAATACTGTCTGATGGGTACAGGTAGGGCGGTGTTTAGCTACGTATACTTTACTATTGTAATACTGTCTGATGGGTACAGGTAGAGCGGTGTTTAGCTACGTATACTTTACTATTGTAATACTGTCTGATGGGTTCAGGTAGAGCGGTGTTTAGCTACGTATACCGCACTATTATAAATACTGACTGATGGGTACAGATAGAACAGGAATATGAATAAAACTTTCGCTAAATGTTATCATGTTTGGAAGCATCAGCTCTTCTCTGCATTATAGCATTTTAGAGTCGTTATGTTGTATTAACGTATAATTGGAAATCGACAGACAGTTATGCTATAAAACTTGTAATTGTGTAACCATTTGTAGCCGTGTATGTGAAGTCTTGATGTCACCATTTGTAATCGTGTATATGACGTCATGATGTAATCATTTGTGATCGTGTATATGACGTCATTATTTAATCATTTGTGATTGTGTATATGACGTCATGATGTAACCATTTGTGATCTTCTGCATGAAGTCTTGATGTAACCATTTGTAGCCGTGTATGTGAAGTATTGATGTCACCATTTGTAATCGTGTATATGACGTCATGATGTACTCATTTGTGATCGAGTGTATGACGTCATGATGTAATCATTTGTGATCGTGTATACGACGTCATGATGTCACCATTTAAGATCGTGTATATGACGTCATGACGTACCAATTGTAACAGTATATAAATGGAATCTTGATATATTATTAATTATGGTTGATACATTATGAAGTTAATAAATCACATTATCTTTTTATTAACGCATTGTGAATATAATCGTCTTTCCGGTTAAGTGTGAACAAACAGAAAACAATGTATTAGAATGATAACTGTAGTTAGATAATAACATATAGGCCCCACTGAAACTGAGGCAGAGACCTTCAGAGCAATACATACAGTCACCAAACAACTTAGTATCGTATTCGTTAGACCGGAAGTACCACTCGAGCGGCTCGGTCGCTTGAGTGTTTGAATATATGTTGCAAAGAAGTCTGTAAATTGTAACCTTGTCATTCATAAAAGTCGCGCATACAATCTTTGTCGGTGTATGCTAGGTTTACACGTGGGAGACGACATAGATTACATGACATGTACGGGACTCGATTCTCTATAGTGACCTCACTGATGCAGTTATATTTTTTATAATAGTCTATTCTTTAAATATGGAAAGATATTTTTTGTTTGAATATCTTTGATAAAAGTTTTGGATAGTTCAATAACTGACGGTTAATGGCTTTTTAATATGTGATAACACGCATTTTTTGGTAAAGTCACTGTACAGGGATTATTGTTAGTATCAGGACCAGGAAACCTCGACACACACAACCCCGGCGACCATGGTATACGTTGGATTTAGCTATCGGACGATGTGGGTTTGATAAGGAGACGAGGAAGTGATTTGGGCCCCAAGTGCTTACTATCTATGTGTGCGCAGTAGTCGGACTTTGATACGGGTTTTATAGTCAACGGTCGCATTGTCATCGTGAATGTTACAGGAAAGTAGCCGTTGTCATTTCCAAGTTGTACCTGGTAAATTTGATAGGCTATAGTGTCTGGATATACCCTCCCCAAGCCACAGGGAACTAGGTTGGCCTAGCTGGTTCCAATCTGTGTATTCCGAGGATCGTACGGATACTATCGGCGTCGGACAGGGTGTCCGGACCTGACCATCAGGATGAGGGGCTGGATACCTAAGCTGGCCTTTACACTACTAGTGGTAAGTAATTATAACTTATACTTTTGTAGTGGTAAGCTTTAGTACGTGGTCTATGGGTGTGGCGTATAGAGCTGATATGATTAGAGTACCCCCTAACAACGTCCAGATAACACATTATATTTATCTGTAGGACAGAACACATTTATACGTTAGTAACATAAGTATTCAAACTACCTGTACTTATTACATGTAAACAGCAAGCAGTGAAAGTACTTGTACAACACTTCCGGCTACCATATTGTTTGTATTGACGTACATTGTTTACTCTGACCAATAGCTGGGCCACACACACGTGTAGGTACAGGTAACAAGTGCCTCCCCTACATACCTCTACACAGAACCACCATTTCCAACACATTTAGACTTGTACAGGTTCAGAGACACATCCCTTTCATATTGTGTTATACTATTTATGCATATATATATAATTCGTATAGTGACCGTTTATTTATATATAGGTCAAAGAAGTGATGTCAATGGTGACTTCCCAGATAGCACGGGATCCTTACAAACGTATGTTTGTAGGAAACGAATTACTTAAAATTAGTATATAGGGCGAGGCAGTCATTCTTATAGTGTAGACAGTATGATGTCAAATTTTCAGAGCAATCCGTTCTTTATCGAGACACAGAAAAACACAAAACAATTACATTACGTAAAACAATATTTAGAAATATTAAATAAGATATAGCTAATATTTGAAAACAATAAGTCCCTCGGCAAGCCTAAGCCAAATGCATAATTTACAATGCACCCTTTTTTTAAAAAAATGTATTGTATTTGTTCGATTGTTTTTGTTTTTCATTGCTAGCTTGTTTTAAAACCATACATTTAGTTAAAATCGCATGCTTCTGTCAATCCAGTGCTAACAGATGTATTGGGCATCTTGATGTTAAAGGAGGAAGTCATGACCTTAATAGAATTAAACATCTTTTATTTAAAACTTGCCTTTCACAAGTTAAATCTATGAAAAAGGGTAGGCAATGTTATTCACTTCAGCACAACGGAAATACAAGCCATTCATTTCAAGGGCCTACTATACACATAAGTAATCGTATCCTTGAAAACGTACTGGCTATCCTCCTACAAACGACGAGGAAGTCCAGCCCTCGGTATATAGTAGATCTGTACACGAAATACAAACGGGTTCAACCGACTAATGAGCGTGTTATTAACGCGATATTGCGGTATATAGAAGGATAAACAAAGTAGCAGCCTCAATGCTACGTGTGCTCCTCCTCTTTAGAAACCCTATAATAAGAGGTAGAGAACAATCGGTTGGGTCGTGTTTGATTTTGTGTGTAACACTGTACGTAACGGCTGCATTTCTGTTTACTTACCGGCCGGCTGCACATGCTAAACTTGCGTCTGATTATCATCATCATATATAATTATACATAGGTATGCTTACTACAAATTAAGACAACTAATCTTGTTTCTACATATCTATACCTTCTCAGTGGCCTAGTTTAAGTTTATTTCAGACAAATTGTAAATAATAGAGCGGATTTAATGGTTTCACGTTCAATTAGATATATATTTCGTGAGTATACTGATAATTTTTTGCACGAAGCACGAGTGAATATATCGTAATTCTGCGATACGAGTGCCATATTTATCGTAATCAACGAAAATATCTTTATTGTTATTTTGTTACATTTAATATCGTAATATTTGGCGCCATATTCAAATTGCGCCATGACTAAAGACGGGACTGCGCGCCATTGTGAATGGACTAATTAACGCAATCCTATCGTTTACTGCTACTATCTGGTAAGTTATGCTAACCAAATGTTATCAGCTGTGTTGATCGATGGGTATCTTAGTGCACGAAAACATTCCATAACTTACCGACGTTTCATCAGCATCTGCAGAGAACAAGAAGAACAATTTTGATTTGGCAATAAAAATAATATTTTCACAGTGTTGACATCATCAGAGCGTGAGAAATGTCAGTTTTATCAAGTTGATAGAGTTCGATCTCTCACAGGCAACTGTACAATAAGTCACTCTATTTGTGGCTGGCTTTCACCTTTATGTGTACATTCAATGTATGTAACTGTTTATGTCCTGACTACCCAGACCGTACGATATGTTACTACAGAATAGGACATTGAAGGTTATACAACAAAATGCAATTTCCTTTTTTGTAAACAAACGTAGACCTACTGTACTCATTCAAAATTGTGATGAATTGAAAAAACAACTAAACGGCACATATGTATTTTGAATTATCATTCTTTTTAACTAAAAATGCTATTTATTCATGTCAGGGTTTTTTCTCAATATTCTGATACAATACATAGAGATACAATTCCATTTCTCATTTTTTACAACAATGCCATCATTTTTGTTTAGATTATTTCCAATTTCTCATTTTGTTGCCATAGTTTCTCTATATCTACATAGTTATATTACATCATCACATTTATACTATATATCCATAGTAACACCATAGTCACACCATAGTAACACCATAGTCACACCATAGTAACACCATAGTCACACCATAGTCACACCATAGTCACACCATAGTAACACCATAGTCACACCATAGTAACACCATAGTAACACCATAGTCACACCATAGTTACACCATAGTCTCACCATGGTCACACAATATCATCACAGTTACTCTTCATTACCATAGTTACTCTAAATTTTGAAGACCTTTCTGCTCCTAAAAGTTTCAAAATTGACTTTGTAGATCCCATGACAATATGATCATATCAACACTATGACGTAATAGAAATACAGTTCCGGAGTGAATATTTTACACACTTTGGAGTCGGCTGGTGTTATCGCCCCTAATGAGTTGGAAGTTTTCACTACGTGTATTTATCGCTTTATTTCCCAAAAACACGATATATAGGCTTTCGTTTTTAATCACGAGGAAAATGCGTATGATAAGTGAAAAATTACACCATTTCATTATATTGAATTTCGTCTCACGTTACGTCACGCATCCCTTTGTGTTTAGTTCTATGTCATCAGGGCAACAGCGTAAATGTGCCGGTTGCACATACAACCCTCATTTATAAGTTATCTACTTAACTCAAAACAAAAATAGACGCTTTCCAGTTTAAATATTGTTATTTAACAAGTAGTGGCAAACCACCATGTCTCCATCCAACTTCATTTTTAATATAACGTCACAAAACATTTGAAATCAATGCAAATGCGTCTAGCATGTACACTGCATGTACATATGCTAACGAGTAAACTGCTCCAAATGGTAGGACGGCTGGGCAATCCACACGTTATAGTAGATTAAACAATACGTGTTTCTTCCTTGTTTTAAGTAGGTATTTATTTACCTGTTCGTAGGGAGATAACAAGTTTTGTTTCCTGTAGTGAAACAGACTTCCAGAAGGAAATATGATATCATGAGGGATTTCATATTTCCCTACCTCCAGATTGATACAGTTTTTGATTAAACTAAACATTAAACAACAAACAATGAAAGCATTCATCAGATAAACTTAACTTGTTTAAAAAAGAAAAACTCATGCAAAGGTGATGATTTTGCACACACAAAGATACCGAACGGAGGCCACGTGTTGCCGGAATGGCCTGAAGTCATTTCTGCTCGGTTCATAGCCTTGTACAAGTATGTAGTATTCTTCTAATAGCAATAAAACAGTCAAAGGGTTTGCCAAAGAAAGTGATAGCTTATAGTATAGTATATTTTTATTAAATACTGACTTCTCCCAGGAAATATCAATACACATATTTTAATATCTATCCGTCTCAGTACCATTTCCAGTGGGTAAATTGCACGAACTTGGAATTCTAAATTAAAATCATGTTGTTTATTGTATTTTATATCAGCACACATAATTGCTGAAGACACGTCCAGTATAACAGCTTAAGCAGTGGTTGTCTTTGGGGGGAGGGAAGGGGGGGATTCACATGCGTACCAACCTTTGTGAAGGTCGCTAATGATTCCACCAGGGGATAAGTAAGACAACAAAGAGGGACACTACTTTATATAGTTCAAAAGTCCCTCCTCTTCAACCATGATCCCAACCAGATCCAAAGGAAAATCTTTTGATTTCTAACATAATGTTCTACTATCCCAAAAATGTCTGCACGCTATCCATTGAAATCAGTGTAATCTATAATCGGAACTAATTGATAGCCTGGCTGGTGGATCTTTGGTGTACAGTTAATAGGAAAAGTGTTTTCTGATGTCGGATAGACCTTTACATATTGTTTTTCACTGAAAGTGCCCTTGTTTCCTTATGTTTGTTGGAATGGTGATCAGTTAGCGTTTACATGTTGGTGTAGGATCTTTTTTAAGCACCTCATATGTTTTTGTCATTATGTACAATGCTTATCATGGTGGCTGTAACATCTACTAAGGAATGGGTAAACATATTATCATGGTGGCTGTAACATCTACTAAGGAATGAGTAAACATATTATCATGGTGGCTGTAACATCTAATAAGGAATGGGTAACTATACTATCATGGTGGTGGTAACATCTACTAAGGAATGGGTAAACATATTATCATGGTGTCTGTAACGTCTACTAAGGAATGGGTAAACATATTATCATGGTGTCTGTAACGTCTACTAAGGAATGGGTAAACATATTATCATCATGGCTGTAACATCTAATAAGGAATGGGTAGACACATTATCATTGTGGCTGTAACATCTACTAAATATTATCATGGTGGCTGTAACATCTACTAAGGAATGAGTAAACATATTATCATGGTGGCTGTAACATCTACTAAGGAGTGGGTAAACATATTATCATGGTGGTTGTAACATCTATTAAGGAATGGGCAAATATATTATCATGGTGGCTGTAACATCTACTAAGGAATCGGTAAATATATTATCATGGTGGATGTAGCATCTACTAAGGAATGGGTAAACATATTATCATCATGGCTGTAACATCTAATAAGGAATGGGTAGACACATTATCATTGTGGCTGTAACATCTACTAAATATTATCATGGTGGCTGTAACATCTACTAAGG